CTGCTTCTTTTGATTACCTCTATTTCTTGCTCTTTGGCTACTGTGTGAATTAGAGAGAGGCAAATAAGGTCTTACTTCGAGGTGAATTACCCTACAGGCTTTAATTTGAAGCAAACAAAGCATTTAAAGTCACTGTCCCCTGGCAGTAGTACTGAATGTGAGCAAACTGCTGAATATTTAAATGTAAGGCATGTTTCCAACCCCAAGGCCTGTCCCCCAAATGATAAGCTCTTTTTTATTAAATGAACTTTAATTGCTTAATAATTAGACCTTCTGTGTAGAGAGATGGGGATCCTGATAGTCTGCCAACCAGGCTAGAAGGCAAAACAGAGGAGTTAGCCATTTTCAGATTAGAATTTTAAAGACCAGGGTAGGTCCACATAGAGGACTATGAGTGGGAAAGAAACTGCCCTGAAAAAAGAAAATCGTGGAATAAGCCTAGAGTATGAAATGTTTAATTTCCAGTGTTTCTTTAAGAAGAGAGATATAGCTTAGTTGAAATAATCATTTGCGCACTTCCAAGACAGGTAAATTTATTTTTTTTCTCCCTTGCATCTGTAGAATCTGGTGGAAATTATTCCAGTTGTAGTGTGTATATACAGGTATGTGTGTGTGGGTTAAAATATTGTAAAGGGGATAGTTGTGATAATTACTCTTCTTGTTATTCTAAATCTGAGAACTACTTATTTTAATGTTGCTACTGCTTTAACAGCTCTTCCTTCATTGCCATGGTGATTTTTGCCTCGTTTCTTTTTGCCTTCATAAAGAAAGAAGCCAAGTGAAAAAAAATGGTGCTTCTGTTATTTATGTTCCAACAACCCTAGTGACAGCAATCCTGTTGGATAAATCCAGAGCATTCTGTGAAAAGTCATGTAGTCCTTGAGGAATATGTGGTATAACCACTGCATGCTAACCCCTGTAGTTCCAGAAGATGGGTAGATCACCCTGGGATGTGATGAGAAAATTTTCAATGGGTTCTAGTTTGAAAATGTATAGTCATTTTCAAGCCATATCAATATACCATAGTGTAAATGTATGAAACAATGTTTCAGTGAGTTGTTGTTGGTTTTTTTTGGTCCCCTGTGACTGAAAAGACTGAGTAGATTACCTATTATCAAAATTCTTCTTTTCCCCAGAAAGAGCCACTGCAGTGAGCAGGGGAGTTCCTAGGATGATGATGAGGCCAGAATATACTCCCTCCCAATATGCTAGTATGTGCAAACAGTTGGAAATAAGTTCAAATTAACAGCATAGACCTCCTAAAAGGTGTCAGAAAAAGAAAGGTGGAAAGGAATATATGAAAAAAGGATGTACTTTGCCAAAGAAATTTACCAGCTGATTCCATTTATTTGCGACATTGGTCTTTTTTAAGTTATCTTAGCTATAGCTGAACGAATGTCCTTTTCCCATTTCTCATAACTGTACCCAGTTACTAATGTTTTTGGACTGCTAACCAATGCATGGACAGATCCCAATCACATCAATTCATGGCATCTAGAGAAATCTCTGGGCACTGACAATTTACAACAATACCTTGACATTTACTACACTGCGCCCTAATCCTTATCCTCAATTAGTGGCCCCAAATCTGTACCTAATCAAGAATCCCAACCAATTTACAACATACCCAACAAGTGGACTTCCACCCTTTCCTGAAGCACTTCTAATAAGGAGGAACCACCTACTTCCATTGATAGGTCATTTGTACTTTCAAATGGCACTAATTCACTCAGAAACCATTAATTAAATACCCACTATGTGCAAGACCCTGTGGCAAATAATGGATACAGGAAAAAAAAATAAAACATTCTCTACTATCCAGGAACTTATATTGCCCTGTAATTAAAATAGGATACACAGAGATAAGTAAATAAAAATGATTAGATTAAGAAAATCCTCTCAAAAATATATGGTACCTGTGTTGAACTATGGAGTAAATGAAGATAGGGGACATCTGGTTCCAGCCATGGAGGGAAGTCAGCATAAAGGAAAGTCATGGAATTGGGAAATTACTTGTTGAATTTGGGGAACAACAATTAGTTCAGTTTGACAAAAGCATTGAGTGAGTGAAGCAGAGTAACAGGAAATGTGTCTAGAAAGCTAAGATGGAATCAGAATAGGGAAAGATGTTAGCTTTTTTTTCTTTACATGAAACCTAAATCTTCTTTTGTAACTTTAGACCATGGCTTCCATGGCTTCTTCCCTCTGTAGAAAGAATAAAAGACGAATCTGTATTCCATTAGCCACCTCTTCATATAATTGAAGATATCTATTTTGTCCTCCTTAACTCATTCCCTCTTCAGTTTAAACACCCCTTGACTTTTCACCCACCTCTTACATAGTATGATTTTCATTATTTTGCTTGTCTTCCTCTGGACATCATCTATTTTTATCAATGTTTCCTAAAATGTGGTGCTCAAATAGGAACGCAATACTCCAGATATGTTCTAATTAGAGCATCATAGAACCATTACCTCCCTCTTGCTGGTTTCTATATCTTTTCGTTAAACTTATATGTCATCTTTTTGTTTGTCATATCATACTATTGAATTATATGAAGCTTGTAATCCATTGCCACCCTCAATTTTTTTTTATCATACAAAACACTGCCTATCCTATCTTACACTTGTGAGTTCTATTTTTGAACCTAAATATAAGACTTTGAATATGTCTCTATTTGATTACATCATTTTAATTTTGGCTTAACATTTTAATCCATCAAAATCACTTTTTTTTCATTCACAAGGATCTTACATTATTGATTGTTGAGATATATAGGCATCCCCTGACTTACTATACATTCCCAAAATCTTTTTTTCCATATTACATATCCTCTGTTCCCTTCAATGTCTTGCTCTGGAAGTTCTAATCAAATCAACTCTAATATTCCCAGAAAAGACGTCAATAAAATTCTTTTCATCTACACTTAATATCCCTTTGATTTCACACACTTCTCTTGTCACTTCTCCTTTATTCCGTTATTCCCTATTACAATTTGAGTTCTGGGCCTGTCTTGCCTTTTTGCATTTGTATCTCTATTATTTAACTCTAGCCCTTAACATAGTAGTAGTAAGTGCTTAATATGACATCCAGGTGACACAGTGGATAGAGTTCCAGGATTGCAGTCAGGAAGACTCATCTTACTGAGTTCAAATCTTACTTCAGACACTTGCTAGCTGTATGAACCTGAGAAAGTCACTTAACCTCATTTACCTCAGTTTCCTCAACTGTAAAATGAGCTGCAGAAGGAAATGGCAAACCATTCCAGTATCTTTATCAAGAAAACCGCAAATGGGATCACCAAGTTTCAGACAAAACTGAAGAACAATTTTTAATACACATTTTATCCTTCATTTATTCATTCATCTAATTAATTTCTTATCACTCAATGATTTATTTACAAATTGTATTAGCATTTCATTTATAATTTTATCCAAATGACTGTTAAAAATGTTAAATAAGGTGGAGCCAGGCATAAATCCAGGGGCATTCCATTGGAGACATGGAATCACCAAGACTACTCTTTGTATCATTCAAATCAGTCATTTCCAAATCCCAAACCAAATCTCCATACTACTGTCTAGCACATATTCCCATGTTTTATCCACCAGAATAGGATATGGACCTTTGTCACATGAGTCTCTGAAATTCAAGTAAATTATATTTGAATCTTTCCTCTGATTTATGAGCTTTGTCAGAAAAAAATGAAATAAGAATATTCTGGCATTGATATATACTGGATTAAGCATCTTTGTGATAAAAAGGTTCTTTTCTAGCTGTTCACTAACTTTTAAATGATCCATTTTAGAATTTTGTGATTAATATAAGGCATACCTAATGCTGTTTGGTTTGCATTTCCATTTCCTCTCCACACTTTTCTTTTGAAAATTGACACATTTGTATCCCTTTGGTCTGAAACATCTCTTTATTTCATTGAAAGGGAAAAGTCTGTGTTTCAGCACTCATATCTGCTAGTTCTTTCTGTATCCTGGGAGGTTACTCACTTGGTACAGGCAGGTGACACACTGTTATCCAGAGTAGCAAATATTGTCTTATTATATCCCTGTTAGCCTATATTTCAATAGCCTATTAGCCATTTTTTTCTTTTTCCGGTTTAAGATAAATCTTAGCAGAAAAAAAAACAGAAGCAAAAAAAAGAACTAACAGTGATTCTGCCTTCTCTCCGTTGTGTGTTATTATGTTTACATTCTTTCTGAGTAGTGGTCCTATCCATTTGTTTCTCTGATTTATGAAGTAATTGTGGCATCTCTCTAATGTCTGTTCTACAACCTTGTTAGCAGAAGCACCTATATTTACACAATGAAATCCAGTAACAGAGGTGGGAGGGGAAATAGAGGCAGAGATAGAGACGGTGATGAGGAAGAGGAGATGGAAATGAAGAGAGAAACAGAGATAGAGAAAATCAGAACAAGACAGAGACAGAGAGAGAAAGCAGTGAGGGGTAGCTTTCAGAAGCTCCCATCACATGTTGAGATATGAAGATTTAAACCAAGTCCTTTATCATATTTCTTGCTATTCCAATGGTCCAACTGTATGACTAGGCAGGTTGTAGAAACCTGTATTTTCATGTGGAAGGGACTTTACCAGCCATCTGATCCAACTCCCCCCTACACCCTTTCAGGCAGTTACCTTCTCTACAACTTCTCTCACTGAGATTTCCTCACATATTTCATGATTTATAGGACTTCTTTCAAGTTAGAATAGAAATCCTTTTCTCAAGGTAGACAAAATGAGTTGAATGTTTGGCTCAAAGTTAACCCTAATGAAAATATGTAAGAAATCATTCAAAGTGTAGGAAATATATGTATTTTTTTCTTGTAACTGTCCTCATTAATAAATACTTCTGCGTTCCCTACGATCCTACAATATCGGTTTGAGTATTACTTAGATTGGACAATTAACCAAAAAATCATATTTTCTGCACATACATATTGTAATTGTGCTTCATATAAACTATCATCCTTTTCCTTGTTTCCTAGGGCCATTGCGGTTTCTTTCTCAAACGGAATCTGTCACAGCCTTCATGGGAGACACAGTATTACTAAAATGTGAGGTTGTAGGGGAGCCAATGCCAACAATACATTGGCAGAAGAATGAAGAAGACCTGGTTCTAAGTCCTGGTGATTCTCGGATAGTTACATTGCCCTCTGGAGCTTTACAGATTAGCAGACTTCAACCAGGAGACAATGGAATCTATCGATGCCTTGCCAGAAATCCAGCTAGCTCAAGAACTGGAAATGAAGCAGAAATTAGAATTTTATCAGGTACCATATTCTTTCTCCCTCAGGCATATCTGAATTTTATTCTCTGAAAGGTTTCTGACTGACCTTAGTTTAGTGCTGAATGTTCATATATAATTGTAAACACATCTATTTAGGTCCATTTTTTTTTTTTGCCATGCCTACATTATAGATTTTTGACCAGAGAATACCTAAAGGATTTTTCCATCTCTTGCAAATCAAGATTTCTAGAAGTATGTATGTATGTATGTGTGTGTGTGTGTGTGTGTGTGTGTGTGTGTGAGAGAGAGAGAGAGAAGAGAGAGAGAGAGAGAGAGAGAGAGAGAGAGAGAGATATTTGAGCATATCATCTATCTTTTGAGTTTTTTATTCATTTGGGAGTGGGGATAGGAGCCCTTGTCAAAAGATTTCACAGGAGCTGCATTTTCCCAGAATATAATATAGCTAAAGCTAGGAGGGATTTTAGAGGTCATATAATCCAGCTCCCTCATTTTGGCATATTTCAAAACAGTTATAATTTATGTTATGATACTAAATGTGAATAGGGTTTAGTTAATATTTCCCTTAGCTGACTTCAGAAAAATCAGAACCAGAAAGACAATGTGATAATAGTAGATAGAGACCTGGTTTCCAAGTCAGCAACACCTGGTTTAAATCATCCTTATGATGCATCCTAATTTTATTTTCCTGAGAAAATCACTTAATCTTTTTGTGGCCCAGTTGACTATTTAAGACTTTAAATTGTTGATCAACATTGATAAAGTTTCCTCATTGGGAGTTTCTTTATATCATACTAATCCTCTTTTCCCTTCCTATAGTTGCAAGTAAGAAGATATATCCACTATTTTCTAAATATATAGATATTGACATAGATAGATAGATAGATAGATAGATAGATAGATAGATAGATAGATAGTTAGATAGATAGATAGATAGATAGGTGAAGTAAGTGCATGAGTGAGCTATACATGTATACACACACACACATACACACACACACACACACACACACACAAAGAGAGAAAGAGGGAGGGAGAGAGATCATATTTTCCTGCCTTTGTGTGTTTATTCATTCTAGGAATAAACTTCCCCAATGTCTTTAGCAGCCAGTGGGCAATGAGGTAGCTTAGTATTTCAGTGGGTAAAGTGTTGGACTTGAAGTCAGGAAAATCTGGGTTCAAATCATGCCTCTAGCACTTACTAACTATATTACCATGCCAGGTCAAGTTCTTGGACTTCTTGGTGCCTCATCTGAAAAAGGAGGGAGTAGAAATCAATGTCCACCAAAGTCCTTTCTGACTCTAAGTCTATGATCTTGTAATGCTGCTATCTATCATACAAAGCTCAGCTCATATGTCACATCTCATGTTTAGGGCCTTTACCAAATCTTCACAGTTAAGTAAATACACATTCCCTTGAAGTATACCCCCCCCCATTAGTTACCTCTACATTTGGTTCTATATAATACTTGTGTGGATATGTGTGTATGTATCTGTATATATTACTTATGTATATATGTATGTGTATATATACATATATACATATGTAATATACATTATATATTTATGTACGTGTGTGTGTGTGTGTGTGTGTGTGTGTGTGTGTGCGCTTTACTTCCCCTACTAGATTGTAAATACCTTAATGACACTGGCAATGTTACTCCCATCACTGAATCACCCTCAGTAGCTAGCAGAATTTCTCATAAACAGTAAGTTCTCAGTAAGTTACCGAATTAAATTCAATAACCAGACATAGAAATATAATGATTGCCCCTCTGTGTCAGAGTTATATTCCATCCAGGCTATTGTTCTTTGGCCAACAATATCCTCCAGAGGTAGTTAGAGAGAGTATGTCAACTTGAAAGACGTGGTTCTACTTCTCATAGTAACAATTTGTGTGTGTGATTTGTAAATGTGTCAGAAGATTTTTACAAATCCACTTATTACCACCTCTGGCAGTAATAAGCTTCATGAGTTTATTACCCAGTTTTCTAACACTTGATTAATTAGAATGAAAAGAATCCCTTAATATAGAAGCTCAGCTTATCACTACCATGACTTAAAACCAATTTTGAGAAATGTGTGTGTGTGTGTGTGTGTGTGTGTGTGTGTGTGTGTGTGTGTGTGTGTGTGTGTATGGAGAGAGAGAGGGGTGTGTGTGAATCTTGATAAAATGCCAGGGTTGTAAAATGCATTGTCTAAAAATAGCTAATTCTCTATTTGCAAATGAAAAATAATAACCTTCACACTTATTAAAGCATTGCTTTGCTGGTTACTTTATTCTATTGCTTTCATTTAAGGCATAATAATTTTTTCTGCCTATTTACAGTATTGAATGTTTGCCAGGCACTTTGTTTACAACAGTACAGAGCAGGCTGCAAAGAAGAGGGAGACAGTGTTGAAATGCACTTAAGACTTCACCCTTTTTTCAAAATGATCTTACAAAGGTGTGCATAGATCAGGGTCTGTAAGGTGCATGCTATTACTTCTATTTCTATAAGATGGGTCCAACAGCACGAGGTAACCAAGATACATTTTTCATTTCTGACATCTGTGTTTACCATTTGTCTGTTTTAGAATGCTAATGAGTTGTTCTACTCTGTCAACACCTAATTTCAGTACCTGGTTAAATTATAGAACATTGTTAATGGTTTTCCAAAAGAATAGATATTTTTTTTCTTATTATTGGGATTATGTGCTTCTATTCAAAGCCAAGAAAAGGGGTGAATAATTTAATTTGTCTACTAATGTTCTAAAAATGTTTGAATACTTAAGAAGACTTAAATATATCTAACACCCTGGGGGTCTTTAAAATAAGTGTAGTAAAAGATTAGTTTTCTATAGAGAGAATTGATTTAGTTGAAGAAATATTTTAAAATGCGTATTATGTGCAGTGATGTTCTAGGCACAGGCAGGAAATACAAAGTTTAGATAATATGGAAGTCTTGGCACTCATGGAGATAATTACCAAATAGAAGGATGTGCCATATCAAGTATGAATAAGCAAAATTTTATGTGATATTTGAGTGTGTGTAATGGGCAAAGGTTGCTACTGATTGGGAAGCATCAGACAAAGCTCCCTGGATAAAGAATCCTTCAGATCAGAGCCTCACAACTTGTAAAAATCCAACAAAAGAAAAGTTGAAATAGTAGGGAAAGGAGATGGTATTGGTGACACAACTAATCATCTTACACAAGTTATAAAGTATAAAGAATATTGGGTCCATGACGTTGTCCAATCTGATGAGGGCTTAGAGTTCATGGAAGGATGAGGTAAACATGACAATGTAGGGTGGAACCAGACTGTGGAGAATTTTGAATATTAAGCTAAGGAATTTGAATAATGTTTGGGCAATCAGGAGTCATTCAAGAGTTTTGTGCAATGGAGTGATATGACCATATCTATTTATAAAATAAATGTGATAGTGGCATGTAGAAATAAATAAAGGAGAGAGAGACAGTAGAGACTTGTGAGTAGGTGCTGAGAATAGACCAGGTAGATGACTATGAGGTAATAAGGTGGTAGCAATAGGTATAAAGAGCAAGGAATGGGTGTGAAAGATATTTCCAACATAGAATCCACAAGTTAATTAACTGTGTCTGAGAAGTGAGAGAGAGGGAAGAGTCAAATAACATAAAAATTTTAAACATGGAAATGGGTGCGGGGTAGGGCTATGGTGGCACTAAAATATACAGTGAAGTCAGAAAAAAGACTAGGTTTTTTCAAAAATTGAACTTTTGACAAGTTGTTTGATGTACTGACTGGTGATATATTATTATAAAGATGTCATGTAGTTGGTTGGAAATACTGCTGTGGAACTTGGGATTGAGGTAAGGGCTAGAGAAACAGATTTGTTTCTTATTACTTGCACGTTACTTGCATAAAAGTAATACTGAAAATATGTGATTGAATAAGTTTGCCTAGGAAGGGAATATAGGAAGATAAGAAAAAAGGCAAAGTATAAAGCCCTTTAAGGGGTGAAAAAAGGATGGTGAGACAATGATAGAGAAAAGGAACAATGATGGCAAGGTAGAAGGAAAACACTAAGAATTCAGATTTTCAGATTAATTAATTAAAGGCCAATATCTGTAGTGGAATTATTTTCATGTAAACTTTTATTTATGATACATAAATAGTTTAACTTTTTATATAGTTCATTTCATAGAATATGTATTATGACAATGGAGTCCACTTTATTCAGGTATAATAAAATTCAGGTGCCAAGCAGTAGATTGGGTTGTTGAATTATCAATCTGATTTGAGTACCTGCTTGCTTAAAATAATAAAATAATATTCACTCAAAATTCTATTTCAGGTTTCTTGATAGCAAAATTGAATTGATTTAATCATTTTATAAGCCAATCTATTGCTCTACCTGCAATCCACTAAATTTGAGTCCTATTGGCTTTGGCCTTACTGTTTTTTTAAATTGGTTTATTATATTATTATAAATTATTTTACATAACATTTTACTGAAATGATTCTAGGTTGGTATATTCCTTAATAAAATTATATTGTCTGCCTTGCCTTTATTATCTCTAGGTCTTTCTATTTTTTTCTCTCTCTTACTCTGATGTAGATACACATATTTATTGATTAAGTGATTTAGTTTGGGGATTTGTCTAGGGAAACAAAAAGATTAAATAATTTACCCAGAGACATACAGGCATTATGTGTCAGAGATAGGACTAGAACCTTGTTCTTCCTGACTCCAAGGTTTGCTTCTATTTACTGTACTGTACAATGCTCCACCTACCTACCTATTTCTCTATTTCTCTGTCTCTGCCTATTTCTTTCTCCACATACCCTTCCCATTGGAAATATATAGATATAGATATAGATGCACATTCATTTGTATGTGTACATTTATTATAAACATATCTATATTTATATTTACTTGAATTAGTTAGAATAAAAGAAACCATCCTTGAAAGTAAAAAGAGATTGAGATTTTCATTGGTCGAGGAAGGAAACTCAGTGATGGCATCATAGATCTCCTATCTCTTTTTTGGAGCCAAATGTAG